TGCGCCAAGGACAGGGCTGCCGAAACAGTCTCCTTGCTCTGGCAGTAAGTGTGGGGACATCGCCCCTCAGAAGGGACTGTGGCACCTGCAGGCTGTCCCTGCTCCAAGCCTCTCTCTGTCCCCAGCTGTCCCCGGGAGCAGCTGAAGTCCCTGCCACGGGCAGAGCTGGAGGGGAGGCTGGAGAGCACCCTCATCATCATCGAAGCCCTCTCGCTCCAGCTCCGTGACTGGCAGGAGGGCCAGCGGCTGCTGCCTGGCGTGGGGCCGGCCGAGCAGCGGGACGTGCTCACGCAGACGGATGTCACCCACCCCACGGGGGTAAGAGCCCTCCCTGCCCTGATGCCACTCTGTTTCCCGTGACCTCGGCACCGTGATGCTGGCCCTGGCTGGCCTGTAGCCTGGTGGATTGGAAAGCTGTGGCAGGGTGCTCAGCATCACGTGCCCAGCCTGACCTGCTGAGGCTGCTGGATTTGGATCCCTTGTGTGGGGAAACATCCCTGGCATGTGTGTAGGCAAAGGGGGGTGGGAGGGGTCTCAGCTAACCAGGGCTGGTGTGAAGCCCCCTCTGCTCTGCTGGGATGCCCTTAGGAGGAGGAGATCTACCATAACCTCTACATCGAGCTGCGGAGGAAAACGGAGGCTCTGCAGCGGCAGCGCGGGGCGGAGCAGGAGCTGCAGGGGCAGCTGGAACTGGTCACCCGGGGGATGGTGCGTCCTGGCTGCTGTGCAATGAGTGCACTGGGTCTCAGCCTGGCAGGGCACGTGTGTACCCAGTGCTGCTGGTGCCAGCCCCTGGAGTGTTGTCTGAGCACCCGTGTCCTTGTTGCTTCCCCAGAGTGACTGGAGTAGCCAGTGCCTCCAGTTTTGGGATCTTGCAGATGCCTCATTTCAGAAGTTGCAGGATAATCAGGGAGCCCTTGACTGGGAGGTAACCCCCCCCAGCCAGGCTGGGCACCCTTTTTCCCAAACTGGGAGACACTGGTACTGCCAGCACATGCAGCAGCTATCAGCTATACTCAGTGCTTCCTGATGCCATCTCCCTTCCCAGCGGGAGCAGGTGAGGGCCCTGGTGTCCCGGTGCCAGGCCATGCTGCAGAGGGTGCCCGGGAAGCTGCGGAGCTGCCTGGAGGAGCGGGATGCCATGAGGCAGCGAGCGGACGAAGCCCTCCGAGCCAAGGAGGAGGTGGGGGGGGCAGCTGGTGTGGGCATCAGGGCAGGCTCTGCCAGCCCCGTGCCTCTGATGGGGCATCGAGCATCTCTGGAGTTGGGAAGATCTTCCCTGGCATCCCAGGGGGAAAGCCTGACATGGCCCTGGAAGGCCAGAAGGGCTGTGGCTGCCTGGGGTGGTAGGAGCTCTTGGGGTGGGTTTTTGGCTCAGGCTGGGTCTTGCTGGGGTGGCTTCTGGGAGGTGCTCCACGTGTGATGCCGTGCCTGGAACAGCGGCCTTCCCTTGGCAGAGTGATCAGTTCCTGGAGGCTTTCCGTGCCCATGCCAGCGCCCAGATCAGTGCCCGTGAGCAGAGCCTGGCCTCCCAGCGGGAGCTGGGCACGCTGCTGGCAGACACCATCAACTGGCAGGTACCAACTGCCTGTTCCTGGGGGGCTGGAAGGGCTTCCCACATCCTGGGCTTGGGCAATGCTCTGAACAGCCATCTGCAACGGGCTTGGGTCCAGCAGAGGTTTCTTGGTGCTGCTGCTGGGAAGCTGCTGCAGATCCAGCCTCAGGGCTGGCACTCACCTCTGTCCATGGCCATTAAACGTGGCTTTTCCACCACAGCAGCAGCGCTGACCTGTCTCTCCTGCCCTGCAGGTGTCCCTGTCTGTTGAGACTCAGCATTTCCGGGAATACGTGGACTTCACCTTTGAAAAACTAGAGGAGGAAAGGGCAGCCCTGGATACGGAGGTGAGGGGTTGTCCCCATGGGGTTTGACAGTGGACTCAGCTCCTCTCCTCCCTGCCGGTGTGGTCCAGGCTGGTGCCACTTGGCTCCGTTTTGGAGCGCTTTGTGCCCCAGGTACCACGGGCAGCCCACCTGCTGGACCCACCCCCGGTCACACGGGGCCAGGCAGAGCCACCAGCCCCTGTGGCCATGCCAGTGCCATCTCCCTTCCCAGCGGGAGCAGGTGAGGGCCCTGGTGTCCCGGTGCCGGGCCATGCTGGAAAGTGTCCCCAGCAAGCTGCAGAGCTGCCTGGAGGAGCGGGATGCCATGAGGCAGCGGGCGGACGAAGCTGTTCAAGCTGAGGAGGAGGTAGGGGGTTGCCTAGTGCTGAGCAGTGCTTGGGGGTGTCTTGGGTGCTCCCCCCAGTCTTGGGGGGGGGTTTGGGGCACCCCTTGGTGTGGGAGCACACCATGGAGAAGGGAGGAGCAGCCCAAAGCAAGCCCAGAGGTCACCACGTCTCTGCAGGCAACGTCCCAGCTGAAAGAGACCTTGGTGGCCCTGGAGGATAAGGTGGCTCGGCTGGAGAAGCTGACAGTGGCCAATTCTCGGCTCAGTGAAGGTAGGGGTGGGTGATGGGGGGGCTGGAGCTGCCTCTGGATCTGTTCCCCCCCCCCATCTTATAGCTCTACCCCCCCCCA